TATGATTCTCAATGTTTGATAGCAGTTGTTACATTTAGCTTAGTTGGTATAGTTGTGTGTATTTTGTGTCCATGTATGCATTGTTTATTGCGCTGTGGTGCGATAGCAATATACACCACCAGAACATTTCACGGCTAACGGCAAACAAACTAAGCAAGTCGAGATCATTTATTTGTTTTTTTGTTGTTTGTTACGGCAAGTGTGAATGTGGATATATACTATCCACATAGTTTTGTGAATATGTACGGGTATGTACATAAGTTACATTCCTGTACTTTTGTGTTGTTTACTATTGTGGCATGCACGTTAGCAGAGATACGGTATGCTGCCTTTTATATTGCAATACGAGTACACATTATTGCTGGTGGTGCCTACATGAAATGGTTGGAATAAATTTCTTAATGCTTAGTAGTATTTAGTTCATCCGAACACACACACAAACATACTGCTTGTATGTTTACATACAAGTTGGAATGTGTGCCAGCCAGTGTTTATTTGTTTTACCATATCAATTTACAACAGGCGGGATTATTTACAATTTATTATAATAAGTATTTACAATTCTGTAAAGTAGTGGGTTGTAGGTGGTGTTATGAAGTTACGATACAGCTTCTTGGGAAACTTTAGTACTAAGAGTAACTGTAATGATAAAGGAACTCCACTGCGGACAGCAACATCAAATCAAATCGTAAAGGGGCTTAAGGCTATAAAATAAAAACAAATAAAACAGCCATAAAGAGATGTAGTCAGAATTGTGATGTCCTCCACCAAAGTGTGTGTTTTAAGAGATACGCAGAGATAAAAAAGACTTATCAAAGGAATTTAAGATATGTACAAATGGAGGGGATTTTTCAACTTTTCACTTTAAATTAAAGTTTGTTAGGCAAAGCAAATTATATTTAACTAGAAAGTAGCTACTACTTCGTCAGTGAAAAAATTTCATGTTAGGCCTTTTTAAACCCTCCACCATACTATGGAGGGTGTATCAAGTTTGTCATTCCATTTGTAACACCTCGAAATCTACATTTTAGACCCCACAAAGAGTATATAATCTTGATCAGCAAATTCTATTCTATTTCTATGTCGATTTAGCGTTGTCCGTCCCTCTGTCCGTCTGTGGAAATCACTCTAGCTTCCGAACAAAAGGAAGTAGGTTGATAAAATTTTACTCAAATGTATATTATGTCTGCTGGACTTTTGGTATTGAAAATGGGCCATGTACGTCCACGTTTTGGTATAGCCTCCATATAATTGTACCTTCCTATTTTCGGTATTTTGGTGATTTAAGCCACATTATTCATCGGAATTGTTTCAAGTTTAGTATTTAAAGTTCTTAATGGATACTACAGCCTATGACAGAAAATTGCCTGTGCAGGTCCACATCTTCGTACAGCCCTCATATAACGGTACTTTCCGATATTCGGTATTCTGATGATTTCAGAATCGGAATTGTTTCAAATTTGGTATTTTGAGTTCATAATGGATACTACAGCCTATGACAGAAAATTGTCTGTGCAGGTCTACGTCTTCGTATATCCCCTATAAAACCGTACCTCTCGATTTTCGGTATTTTGATGATTTTAGCGACATTATTCACCGGAATTATTTCAAATTTGGTATTTGAGGTTTGTAAAGGATACTACAGCCTATGACAGAAAATTGTCTGTGCAGGTCCACGCCTTCGTATAGCTCCTATATAACGGTACCTCTCGATATTCGGTATTTTGATGATTTTGAGCGTTATTACTCATCGGAATTGTTTGGTATTTGAGGTTTGTAAAGGATACTACAGCCTATCGCAGAAATACATATATACATACATATAGTAGTACATCTCTATATTCGGTAATAATATAACGGCTAAGATTTTAACAGAGCCTTAAAATTGCCAAATTTGCTGTAAGTGGTGAGGGTATTCAAAGTTCGCCCTGGCAGCTTTTTTACTTGTTAGTACTGAAGAATTACAAGTAGTTCAAAAAAAAAAAAAAAAAAAAAAAAAAATAGACCTTCAACTTTTAATATTTTATTCAAGTTTTTCATTTGATGTGAAAAATCATAAGAAAACTCTCAAACGAGGGCTAAACTTTCATTTTGAAGTTTTCTAAGGAGGGTATTAGTAAAACCATTGCACAATGTATCCACGTCCAGTTTTTCTGTCCTTAACAATTTCAACGTTTCTATATGTTAACCATCAAGCCCAAGAGTGAACCAAATTTAGAACAACTAGGTTTTGTGGAATTATAGACGCATTTACAAAACCATAACAAGTTGAGATCTTGACCATTCCTGCCCTTTCTTCACCCCATACTGAATTTCGTGTATCGAAATATTATAGTACACATTTCTGAAATCACCTCCACATTTCAACTTCACCCCAACAATGGCATCTATATCAAATTTGAGGATTCCAGCACTATCCCTTCATCCAGGGTAAGATGAAAAAACTGCAACCAACATCAAACTGCTGTAATTTCTAAGCCACTCGTCCGAAAGAACTGCAACCAACATCAAACTGCTGTAATTTCTAAGCCACTCGTCCGACAGCTGACAGCTAATTATATTGTTTACAAGCAAGAGAAAAAGTTATTCGTGATGGAATTCAAGTGTGATAGTGTGATTTCTTTATATTTGGCTATCGTTAGAGCACTCCAGCATTTAAATGTGAATAAATCTTTTGCGTCTCGTACCATCGCTCGTTACCGTGATACTGTCAAGTGGAAGGAAGTGGACGGAAGAAAACAGCAACATCAGCAGAAATGGTTCGAAAAGTAAGGAAGCGACTTGATCGAAACCCGCCCAGCAATGGCTGAAAAATAACTCGTGAGCTGAACATATCGCAATATTCCATTCGGCAAATATTGAAAAATAAGCTCGGGGTAAAGCCAATGAAATTCAAAAAAGTGAATGTACTTACAGACAGAAAATAGACTCAAAAGAGCTAAAGAGTTGCTTCACTTGGCCCAAAGTGGTGAACTGCCGAATTTGGTTTTCTTCGATGAGAAAACATTCGTTGTCTAGAAATTTGTAAACAAATAAAATGATCGTGTTTAGTTGCCAAAGAGGTCAGCTGAAAATGTGCACCTTCAGTTGGCCACCAGAACTCAAGCGCCGGCCATGGCGATGGTGTGGGCCGCCATAAAAGCCGATGGTCGCTCTCCGTTTGTATTAATCGACGGTGGCATAAGAATAAAGGCCGAATATTATCGCGAAAATATTCTGGAGGGTGTATTAAAGCTTTGGACACGCAAACATTTTGGCCGCAGACCTTGGACATTCCAAGAGGACTCAGCACCATCGCACTCAGCACGCGCCACCCAAGAATGGTTACAAAATGAGGTTCCTAGCTTCATTTCATGCGCACAATGGCCAGCAAAATCGCCGGATACCAATCCGTTGGACTATTGTGTTTGGAGTATTTTTGAAAGCAAGGCTGGCACTAAAAAATACCAAAGTGTCGATCACCTCAAGTAAGTGCTTCGCCGAGAATGGGCCGAAATTTCGCAGAGCAGTATTCGGGCAGCGTGTGACGTTTTCATTGGCTGTTTGAAGGCCATAATTCGTGCCAAAGGTGACTAATTCAAACAAATTTAAAGTTATTCTAAAAGTTGATGCTATTTCCGATATTTTTTGCTTTCATTCAACAAAAATTAAAAAAAAAAATTAAAAATTAAAGCATTTGACTTTGTTGAAGTTTTTTTATTTCACCCTGTATTTTAAGTAAAATATTTCTTCTGGGGAAACCTTCCACATAAAACGAAATTTCGGGAAAAAATGTATCAAAAAAAAAAAGAAATATTTTCGGTATTTTTCGAAATATTGGTACACAATGGAAATAGAGATTTCTTTTCTTTGGTGACTTAAACTAAGATTTGATAAAGAATATTTTTGTCTCTGGCGTTATCCTTCTAAAAAATGGATTTGTTCGAGATTTTTGCACCAACTCACACAAAGTACGGCTTTTAGCCTAAAATATGTGTTTTAATATATATGAATTCATGGCGTTTAGATAAAATTTAGAACCTTGGTGTCTTTTAGGACCTATAGCAAAATTTTACAACAAATTATTTTGTGGAACATTTTGACTTAAAGTGATTTTTTAACCATGTTTTAAATATGGTTAAGGATAAAAAAAAACATTTTTGACTCGAGACAAAAAAAATCCACCAAATTATTTCCCGTGTTCTAGTCTGCAATATTACCGAAGAGACTATATACCTAAAATGTACGGAGTTTGGGGATCTTAAGGAGGAGGATCGAAAAGGATCTTGAGCATCGAATCGAATTTCCAAATGTGTTGAAGAGGGGGAATTGCCACCTCTATTTAGGCTACTTTGCAATGTAAACTTTCAAAACGACGATACACGTATCTCCTTTTTAGCACTGCTTTCAAAATCTGCTGGACATATTCCGCAATTATGTATGAAATTGAATGTTCTCATAGGGTCTAATAAAATATAGAACGGTGTTAAAAAAATCGAGAAGAAAATTTTCTATTTTATTCTTTCGTTGGGCGCCACTGCTTTGCAGGGAAATAGATTAAAAATTAGTGGCCAAATTTCACACCACAGCAATTTTTTCATTATTACATATAACTTGAAGTCTGAGTCTACATACCCCTTATTTTTGTATCTTGAAACAAGAAACAAAGCAAATGTGGCTCCTGGTGTGACCAATGCTTTGCGCTGTGGCTCAAATTCTGCTCGTTTTTTATTTATTTGCTAGACATAATTATATTATGATATTCTCGTATTGGGTACACATCCCATAAAAATTAAAAAAGCTTATGTCTTTGGCTTATGACATTGCTTTCATACTTACCGACATTTTTATTTTTGACCGAAATCACCATTTCCACAGCCATATACCCTATTTTCATAGTTGTACAAGGACAAGAGACAAAGTATCTTTCAAAATTTTTCAATTCACAAACAAACAATCCGAAATCATATTTTATAACCAAAACAAAATATACAATTTGTTACTCTTTTTCCTCATTGCAGCTGCATCGGTGGCCGTTTCATCGTGGACCCTGGTCGCCATATCCTGTGAACGCTACTACGCCATTTGCCATCCTTTGCGTTCGCGAACATGGCAGACCATAAATCATGCCTATAAAATAATTGGTTGTATCTGGATTGGCAGTATCCTCTGTATGGCGCCCATTGCAATATTCAGCCAATTAATACCGACCAGCAGGCAGGGTAAGTCGAATGCCACAATTTAATGGTGACATTGGCAGTCATTAGTTTATAGTTGTTGTTGTTATTGTTTCTGCAGCTATTTTTCTGTTTACGCAAAGCTTTTAATTTTGATTAATGTTTGTTCAAAGACCGTTCCAACGGCAGGGCATCGACAAAACCGCCCATGATATAAATTGACTTTAAGAGCGAAAAAAAGGGGCAACAGAAAAATTGCATCAAAAATAATTTGTTTTTGATACCGTTGACATTTTACAGATGAGAAGCGCGTGGAAATGAAATGGAAAAAGTCATCATAACGTTTCAAATAAATGAAAAATGCATTTTGTTTTGGAGGAGAAAAAAAAAAACGATCTGACATTCTACGAAATTGCAGTCAGCTATGGTTTGTTCATTTGTTTCGTTTCAAAAAGTCAATTTAGTCAATAAATAATTGTTTGTAGAGAAAAATCGGGTAATTGGCAGTAAATGACAGGTTCGCGTGAAAAGCAGAAAAAAAAATTATTAAATAAAGTGGACTTTTGTGTAGGACTAAATATTTTTTCAAGAGCTAAAAAAGGACTTTCTAAGGACTTTGTGGACTATCAAAAATATAGAAAAGGATTTTTTAATATAAAACTGACTTAAAGGCTCATCAACGCCCAGACTGAAGCTAGACTCTTAAAATTTTGGGTAAGGGTCACTCTTGGTCCGAAGGGGTCAGATAAGGCTGGGTTTTTGGAAATTCTTACGAAAACGGTACGGATAATATTAAAGGGCACTGAACATAATTCCCTTTGTATTTAAGAGAGCAGTGAAGTTGGAAGTACTAAAAGTACAAAAATTTACTACATTTGGTAACATTTCGTATCATATGAACGGTTAGACCTAAAACTTATAAGGTTGAGGAGTACAGTCGTTGTGAGTAGGTAGATTTGGAAATATGTACTCATGTATACGAAAAGTACTAAATTTAGTAGCATTAGAATTTGGAGGAGCATATGGAGTTGGAATCCTTAAGTTTTAAAATAATATTACTGGCGGAAGTTTTCAAAATTTGTACTCATGTGCAGGAAAAGTACAAATTAGTACTATATTGGATACAATTTGTACTTAGCCGAAGCGATAGAAATAAATATTAATATTGCATTCTAAGACAGAGGAATGTAGGTTGTTTTGGGAATTCGTACTTATGTGTACTAAATGATATTAAATTTGAAACAGTTTAAATTTTTGGGAGAACCAATAAGGATGGAATGCTGAGCTTTGGAATTCTGATTACTGTTAGAGTGTAGCATTGGGTTATAAAGGAAGTTTTGGAAATTCGTACTTATCTGTGCCAGATAGTACCAAATTTGGTACAATTTTTTTTTTTTTTGGCAAACCGATAAGTATGGAATGCTGAACTTTGGAACTGGGATATCTGTGGGAGTGAAGGCTTTGGAAATTAGTGCTAAATTTGATACAATTTCGAATTATGATGATCCCAGAGAGCTGGAATTCTGAAATTTCGAAGTAACATCTCAATGGGATAGTATGATTAAAATATGGAGGTAATTGTGGAAATTTGGAGTGTAGGATTGTGGTGTGTAGGAAGCTTTGAAAATACATACTTATCTGTAGTAAAATGTACTTATTTGGACAATATTTTAAAAAGTTCGCGTTCTATGGGGAAGGTACCAGAAGGTGTACTCCCATACTGTCCATTTTCACAACACATGATGTGTTGATAAAAGTATTGGGATGTCTCGAGTTTGAAAGTAATCGGATGGTAATTTCGCGCTTTATGAGCTTAATGGATATTCAAAATTTCGACCTTTTGTGGGGAAGATACCGGAAGGAGTGGACCGATATATTTCATCTTTACACCAGATATTGGGTTTATAAAAACATTGGGATGTGTGACATTTGAAGACAATCGTATAACCTACATCACATTTTATGAGAGTTGTAATTATTCAAAATTTTTGACCATTTGTGGGGGAGGTACTTGATCGAGTGGAACGATATCCATTTTCACACCTGACCTAACACTGACGCAAATATTAGGATTTGCAAAGTTGGATCAAAATCGGATTATCCATTTTCTTTTTATGGAAAAAATATATTTTTCGAATATTTCGACCTTTTGTAGGGGAGGTACCAGAAGGAGTGGTCCGATACTGTCCATATTAAAACCAGACCTTGCGTTTATAAAAACATTGGGGTGTGTGACATTTGAAGACAATCGGACTCTTACATCACATTTTATGAGAGTTGTAATTATTCAAAATTTTGACCATTCGTGGGGGAGGTACTTAATGGAGTGGACCGATATTGTCCATTTTCACACCAGACCTAGCACTGACGCAAATATTAGGATTTGCAAAGTTGGAGCAAAATCGGATCATGATTTCACTTTCTGTGCAATAAAATATTTTCTTTGGAAATTTCAACATTTTGTGGGGGAGGTACCAGAAGGAGTGGACCGATATTGCCCATATCCGAACTCGATCAAAGTTTGACAAAAGTATTACGATCTGCCAAGTTTGGACCAAATCGGATACTGCCTTCGTGAGTTATCGTATGCACCAGCCAACCAGCCAACCAGACAGACAGACGGACGGACGGACATCGCTAGATCGACTCGAAATGTTCTGAAACGGATTTGGTCTAAAGAGACCTAAGGTCTAAAACCGTTACTTCGACTAGGCACGTTTTGACCGTATCAAATTGAATATAGCCTCTGTGGCCATATGGCTGAGGGTATATTGACTATCAAAGCAATAAACGTACACCTTCTTAAAAATATGTTTTTAAATGGCTATCCCAGCTTGATTTTTAAGAATATATTTTAGAGTGAATATCAAAGCCGTAATCGACTTATAACCAGGTTTTAAGAAAATATTTACCTTCTTAAAAAATAGTTTGTGGCCTACTATCAGAAGACTATCAGAAGATTTGCAAAATTCCTATAAAAATATTTTTTGAGTTCTATGAGAACACAATCCAACTTTCCCTTAAAAGAGGATCAGGTCTTCCTTGAGAAGACCTACCTCTATGAGGATAATTTGTTGCTTATTATGAGAAGAGGCTCAGGACTTTTTTGCAGTGTCTTCTTATTTCTATGAGAACACATTCATGCCTTCTTTGCTAGTCATCTAATGAATTACAGCTCTAAAAGACTTCACTACAAACTAAGTATTGGTAACCCATTCTTTCTTTAGATTCTGATTAGATCGTTATTATAAGAATTTTTAATCCATAAGTTCGGCAACTAACCATTGGGAATGAAATTGGTCTTTTTTCTCATAAATCATAAAAATTTTCTAGATGATATCGAAATTACAGTCAATACATAGGGTTAGACCAATTTTTTTCAGTTTGAGCCGACTGTTCACAAAATAGATGGACCTCAAGGTCCACAACATAACCGAAGACAATTATCTGAAAAAGTTACTGACAAAATAAATAAAGAATACATTTTAACATTTTCAAATCCAGTTGTTACAAATTGGGAATAGAATCTACAATTTTGGGATAAAAACTATTGTCTTTTCTAGTACTGAGTTGAATTTCTTTTATTGTCCCTCAAAGTTAAACTACCTTTATGGTTCATACATATACGGCCTAAAACAGTAATGGGGATGGAAGAGCTCAAAAACCATAAGACTAAGGGATAATTAATAGTTATGACCAAATTTATATCCAAATTTTAAATTTGTCATTCGATTTTCCATATTTTCCTAATTTTCCCTAACTTTTACTTAAAGCACACAATCCAAAATCCCATCCCCTAAAAGATTTTTTCAAATTTAAAAGGTTATTACTCTCTTACATTCTAAATGCGCTCACAGATTTATCTTGATTTTGTTGTTTTCCTATTTCCTTATTTCTATAGACAACCATTGCGACCCTTTTTCCCATCCCATTTTAATTGATTTTATTATATGGGAAATTTCATTTAAAAAACGGAGTCAAAATAATCTTATCGACATCATTATCAGGGGCGCAAGGAAGTTTCTACTACATTGCAATCTGTTATTTGGATCCCCAAATAAACTAAATTATAATATTTCGTCTTTTTGCTCTTCGCTCGGGGCAGCTGAATTTGTATGCTGCTGCAAAAACGTCAATGTATTTATTTAGGATATTAAATTACAGCTGACCCATGTGAACGTTGAAAGGGTTTTTCTTTTTAGTTTATTTTTTTTTTTTGGTGGGATGGTCAGCAAAATGGTAATCAGATATTTATAGAAGTGAGTGCTTTTCGGTATGGCCACAAAGTCATTGCTATGGGAAAGGTTATTTTCCCCAAAAAAAAGTGGGGACTATATATGTAAATATATTGATTTTATGAAATTATTGAAGCCTAAGGCGAAAAAATGTTAAAGATTTAAATAAAATATAGAATAGTTGGGAAAAAACCATCAAAAGCAGTATTGAGGAATTTTATAACACAAGTAACTATTATCCGATTACAATTTAAGTTAAATGATATAGGGTTGAAGTGCTGAATATGACCGACTTCATGATTTTTCTTTAGAAGATTTTAAAATGTGACAATGAAAAAAGTGTCGATTTGCATTAATAAATGTTATGAGGATGTTTTTTTTTTTTTTTTTTTTTTTTTTTTTTTTTCAAAACAACGATGTTTGTCCTCCCGTCCCTTCGTACGCCCATCTGTCTGTTTGGCAGGACTGAACAATAACTCACGGATGGAGTATTAGCTTATGTCCAAACTCTACATGAAGCAGAAGATGGAGCTCGTAATGAACGATGTATGTCTCTCCCTTTTGGTACCTAAGACAAAAGTAGTTGGACACATTTTGACAACTCTCACGAATGATCTTTAGCAGAAAGAAAGAAAAAAAAAATAAACAAAACAAAACAAAACGATCGTGAGAATCGGGCGATAATTGCAATCTGTATAAAATAACCCTATGTTGTAAGATGAAAAAATATTACAAAATATACACTTCAATATTTTAAATCAAATTAAAAATCGGGCCATAATTGCGACCTGTAGAGTTATTACAAATTAACATGGACAGACGGACGGACGGACATACAAAGCTAGATCGACTCAGCTCGGCGAGAGAGAAAGATCCATATTCCTATTGTGGGAAATCAATATTTCGAGGTGTTACATAATTTTTGACCAATCAGACTTATAATACCCCCAACACATAGTGTTGCAGGGTATAAGTATGCTAATGAGAAATGTGGACAATTTTTCTGTAATATTTTGTGATATTTTTTCTTTGTCAGATTTTTTTATCGCATGAGATTTTTTAATTTTACATTTTGTAATATATTTTTTTCGCTCACAACACTATGTGTTTCGTTTATTATATTAAGATCCCAATTATAGTCCGAACGAAATTTTGCATGGGGATAGGGTTAGGGTCAGAATAAAAGGCTATTTTTGTGGAAGATGTTCGCAAAATATTAAGGGATTCAAATGAATCAGAAACCTTAAAATTGTCTAGGTTTTGCAGTCGCCATACATTTCTGAACTAAGATCCTATAGATGTGAATTTTTATGAGGTTAGTGTTTAGCTGAAGCATAGCATATTAGATGGTCATTGCACAATGTTTAACTTTTGCTGGACTATGTGACATAATTTCAAGATTGAAATTAAAATAAAAAGGAATATATGGGAAACATATCTTGAATGTGAAATTTCTGATCTTTCCAAAAGACCAAATTAGATTTTAACGTTGTAGAGACATCTGCCTCGTCAAATGCGAATGCTTTTCTAGAGATCGTATGTTTTTGGAAATATTTATATCAGATGTACGACGATTATTCGAAAAGAGAAGCAGAGGAATTTTCATTATAGTCAAAAGTGCTTCATAACTGCAGAAACTTTACGCACGAATATAGCCTTCGCTTGTTTGTTAGCACTCGAAATTAAATTATTTTTTTCAGTTTGACAAACATTGTTAGTCAAAACTTCATACATCGTACTAAATTTTCAGACTTTTAAGATTTTATATATTATTCAGGTTTTTCCTTTTTCTGAAAGAATAATCGGAAGATATTTGACTTTTTTGAAGTTTACTGAGGTGTATAATAAAATCATTGCACAATGGACTCACATCCATTTTTTTTTTTTTTTGCTTTAAAACTATTTCAACATCTTATCATGATTAAAATTGACAACCATAGCTACCAATCCTAAAAATCGACATTAACCTCAAAATCTAATATAAAATTCCAGGTCTACGACTCATGTCCAAAATCTCCTCCTTATCGCCACACAAGACACCAACAGTTATCACGGTACATATTTTCAGAGTTCTATATCCACCCGAAAATCCGAAGGCACATTTTTTGGCTTTGGCACTTTTCGTACGAGCTGAAAAAGCTCTATCCCTTCCTAAAGCTCTTTCCCTACCTATTTATACCTGTATAGTCAAGGTAAGAATTTTCCCAAAAAAATTCCAATACCTCAAAATCACATACAAACAGTGACAAAATTTAGTACCATTTAATAAACTATGTTTCCAAAACCAGCTCCCTTTCTCAACTACAAATATCAGCAGTAACAACGACATCAAATTTTGTGGTTCTAGCTCTACCTCTACGCACAATAAAAACTTTAGCTTCATTTGGCACTTTCCGAACAATTATGGTGCATTATCAAAATCACCTCAATATCTTAACCACACACACCGACATTCATATAAAATTTTGGGACCCCAGTTCCCATCCCTTCACCAAACACCAAATTTATTACCACTTAGTACTTTTCGGAAAATTATAGTACAAATTTTCGAAACCACCTCCAAGTCTCAACTAACAGTGAGCCCAATCAGCTCCTTCCATTACCAAATTAGCAGTATTTAGTAGTTTTCGTACAATTATGGGACTCATTTCCAAAACCATCCCTATATCTCAATTCCTGATACTATCAGCAATTCCTGATACTATAATAAACATTTCCGGAACCACCTCCATTTTGAAATATGAGGGTATAAAAACGTTTCCTGTTTTTTTTTGAAAAGTTAAAAGTTATTGAGGCCGCTTAAAATAAAACAGAAAATTAGCGGATTTTTAAATATTATAAACTTTTAGAACAGGTTTTTGGCAAAATTGTCTGGATTTATAGAAACTATAAATGCTGGACTTGTATATTATTTTGAACAATAGCATATTAATTGACTAAGACTGCTAAGATCAAAATCAAATATTTCAATAGCCTCTAGAAGCCGTATTTCTTGGTTCGCTTTTAATCCTGCCAAATTTTTCGTTCTTAAGTTTTTTTTTTTATTCCCTACAACACTATGTGTTGGGGGTATTATAAGATTGAATAGGCCAAAAATTATGTAACACCTAGAAATATTGGTTTCCCACATAGGTAAGTATATATGGATCTTTCTATCTCGCCGAGCTGAGTCGATCTAGCTATGTATTACCGTCCGTCCGTCTGTCCAGGTTAATTTGTAATCACTCTACAGGTCGCAATTACGGAACAATCCTCACGAAATTTAAAAAGGACGTGGGGTTAAGGTCAGAATATCCTATTTGTTTTGAAGATGATCGCAAAATGTTTAAGGAGTGAAATGGACAAAAAAATTGAAAATTTCCTGATTTTGCAGTTGCTCTACAGGACGCAATTATAGATCAATCGACGCGGAGGTTAGCATGGGGCTAGAGTTAAGGGCTGAGCAGAAGTCATACAAATTTGGTGGTCATCGGGTAATATTTAGTGGGTGAAATAGACCATAACATTTGTGTTAAATAAAAGTCAAATTTTCAATTAAACCGCGAATATTTTTAATCCCGGCGAAATCACAATTAGACGAAAATTTCAATTCTGACCGGTACCGATGCTAATAGTAAATATATCGGACATATATAGCGAAATATATACAATATTTATGTACAAAGGAAGGGGATGTTAGCTAGAATGCTTATATCTCAAGAATGGCGGGGCAGATTTTGACAAATTTTTTCCAATTCAGAACGCTCTCTTAGCATAAATGTATAAAATACAAAAAATTCGCATAAAAACATGCCAATAATGATGTTAATATAGATTTTGTAGTATTTTGTGATTTATTTTTTTTTTTATTTATTTATTATATTGAAGTGTATATGTTTTAATATTTTTTCAACTTACAACACAGGTTGGAATTATTATATACAGATTGCAATTGTCGTCCGATCCTATTGAAAATTTTTACGAGGGTAGGGTTAGGCTCAGAAGGGCTAGGTCGATGCTGGGCTGTTTTCAAACATGTCTGCAATATATCTAGGGTTTGAAATGGACCAACAACTTAAAATTTTCCTGATTTTATTCCTGTAGGTCACAAATATAAGCCAAAGGACACGATTTCTCGCATGAAGTTAGAGTTTAAGACAGCGGGTAGAATGGACCACTACTTTTGTGTGAAAAAAATACCAACATTTCCACTCTACCGAAACGCTGAAAATAACTTACAGTCGGTATCCAAAATACAAAAAAGGCGAGCTTCTGGCTTTTTATGCTGATTTCGTTGACGAATATAGCCAAATTTTATAGACAAGCTTATCATATAGATACAGAGGGGCCTCTTGCTTTTGGAGATGATCGCAAAATATTTAGCGGTTCAAATTAACCAAAAACTGAAAATTTCCCTGATCACACAATTGAAGCCAATCGACACGCCTGAGAAAAGAGTAAAGGACAGGGATGAATTTTAGCATTTTGGATGACCATTGAGTTATATTTGGCTGTAAAATGGACCACAACAACTAACAGCACCACGGAGTGCGTAAATATTGGGCAAATATCCCTGGTCAAAATACTAAGGATAATATCTGGGCAGTGCTGTGTGACATAATTTCAAAAGCGAAATCTTCCAAAATGTATTTGGACATACGGGTCTTTTAACATATTGTAGTGTTGTATTGTATCACAAGGTCAATCCCGCACGACTATAGCCTTTGCTTACTTGTTCCAATTTGAATATGGTAATGGCTAATGACAAACAATGCCTATGTAGGTCCACGTCGTACAGGCCTTAATATAACGGCTATATTCAGTATTTTTACGATGTTAACAGCATTTTTGGCGAATGTTATCTTTTTCGAAAATTTCCAAATTCGTGTCCACGAACTTACTGCTTTTTAACTTGTTATTATTTCGGAATTTTAAAAAGAGATTTTAGCAATTATTTTTTTTTTTTTGTTGAAACCATAAATGCTGTATTTGTATATAATTTTGAACAATTGAATGTTACTTCTCTAAGACCTCTAAATCATAATCATCGAATCGTTCATCATCATACAGAATCCATTTTCTTGGAGACCAAATATGGACTTCTGAACATTCTTCGTTTTGATCTTTTTATCATTTTTTTAATTGATATATTGTTGAGATAGCCCGACCCTCCTCCTGCAAAGTTTTCTCCTACCATTTTTAATAAGGGTATAATCTGGCAAACTTATTTTTTTTGATTTTCGGTGAAGAAAATTCGATATGCAACATATATTCTTTAAAGTTTCTTGTGACTTCTCAAACTTTTCTTTCGTTTTGCTCTCAAGCATTTATTGACTTTTATTGAAGTGGCATTAAATGGGTTTTCATGTTATCAGCAAAAAAAAAAAAAAAAGAAAAAATCTTATGGAACAAAAATGTTATTAACAATAACGCCCATGCCCATGAAGAATGGTTGCGGTCCGTTTTTTCATTTTTTAAATGAAATAATCAATATTATTAGACAAGGCCATAGGAAACCCCACAGGAGAGCAAAATGTCAATTTTCTTTTGTGCATGGGTCGCGTTTTGTTTGTCAATATTCGTTTAGAGAAAGTAAAAACTTCATTTGAAACTTTTTGATTTAACAAATTTCTTTTTTTAAGAAGAAAAAGCTGAAAAAAAACTTAATTTTCCTTTTTTCTCCATTTTCTGCTTGTGTTTTGCAGGCTATCGCAAGTGTCGTGAACAATGGCCACAGCATGCGGTCGGCTATGAGCGTTCCTATAACATTTTTCTGGATTTGGTGTTGCTCGTTCTGCCACTGGGAATTTTGTGTATCGCCTACATTTTGATAACACGAACATTATATCTGGGCATTAAGGATGAAAAGGCTCTCATATTCGGCAGTAAAAATAACAATGTGGTAAATGCGGGCGTTACTGGTGTTGTTGTTAGCAATGCCCATACGACTCCGATGGCCGATGGTAAAATCTACACCCAAGTGACAACAATGGCTGCGGAAACAAAGCCCAGTAATGTCTTTAATTTGAACTTTTCGTTGCGTTATCATTCGCGCAAAGCGGGTGGCTCAATTCGTGGTGGCCACTCAAAAAATTCTAATGAATCCACAACAAATAATGACAGGGATATTAAATTATCCCATAACGCTGAGCGTGGCAAATTCGTGGTATCAACATCTGTGGATGGCACAACGTCGGCAATTGGTAATAATGGCAAAAATCGTCCGGAAACTGAAGTCATTTGTAAGAAAATAAAAGAATCCAATAACGAATTAACACAGCAGAGACAACAACAGCAGCATCAGCAGCAGCATCAACATCAAATGAAGGCCTCTTCATCATCATCGATACAACAACAGCAGCATCAGCAACAACAACAACATTGCTATGGTAAGTTTACACTTGTACATACATACATACATAAATAAAAAACTTGTTCTTCTCTTTTTTTCAATGATTGTGAAGGATGTTACAATTGAAAGGAAGAGCAAGAGACCGGAAAAAATTTCCGATTTCCTGCCCACACATGTTTCAGTTTTAATATTTGTTTGAGCAATAGATGAAATCGATTTTTATTTAATTAAATCGTATTCAATAATATGAAAAACACATTTAAGGCCACTCCATGGTCAGCGTGAGTGAAGCTTGAAAAACCATTGGTTAGTGAAGTTTCGAATCAAAATAAAATAAATAAATATAAATAAAATACAAAGCATAACAAGGTTGGGCGCCAATCGAGCATTACATTTATTTGGCAACTTAATTCTTTAAAAGCTTATGAATTTAGCAATTGCAGCTTTTTGTTAGGGTTCTCATATTGAATGTCAAAGGCTTCAGTTCGTCAATGGATCCACAATTGCAACTTCGACTAACAATCTGTTCAATTGATTTTTATACCCCACACCACAAGGTGGTTAGGGTATTATGTCTTCCTGCATTTGTGTGTAACAGCCAAAGGTAAACGAAATAAAACCATATTTCCTTTTGATGATCTGCTTAGAATCACATTCTGAGTCAATTTATGCATGTCCGTCCGTCCATCCGTCTGTCCATGTATTCTTGTAAACAAAGTACAGGTCGCATTTACTGCACGATCCAGATGAAATTTTACACAAATCAATTGTTCGACCCAAGGACGAATAATCGGTCAAAATTTAGATACAGCTCCCCTATATATCTTCGTCCGATTTGTCTTCTATTCAAGACCAAACGTATAATATCAGTCCAAATAGTATAGAATTTTGTAAATACGACCAAACTAGGTCTGAAAATTATATCTCCAATATATATTATTCATCTGATTTGTTATTTTTGTCCTCTGCAGCCGTAATATGCACTCTGTAACAACGATATGTGGGGAGATATATCAAATATAGCTCAGAAATACCATTGCCAAATTTTATCGAAATCGGTTCAGATTTGCATTTTATTGTGCACCAAACGTCTAATATTAGCCCAAATGGTACGGTAAGTAAATTGTCTATTTCCTTAACATTTTTTGAGCCTTTGGAGGTAGTGGGGGAGGAAATGGAAGAATGTTGCCCATCACTGAAAGTTTCATAATAACATTACAGTGTAGAAAATTTGGAGCAAATCGGATACTCCCTTCGAGAGTTATCCCAGACAGAAAGACGGACGGACATCTCTAGATGGACTCTAGATGTCCTGGAACGGATTTGGTCCAAGAGATTTAGGGTCTAAGACGGTTATTTCGATGATATACAGGGAGAGATGAAAAACCGCAACCAATTTCAGATTGCTGTCATTTCTAAACTACTCGTCCGACCGATGTTAAAATTATTCCAGTGACAACTCATTATATTTTTTACCAGCGAACAAAAGCATTTTGATGAGAATTTTCCACAGAAAAAGTTATTCATGATGGAATTCAAGCGTGATAGTGTAATTTCTTTATATTTATCTGTAAAACTACATCTGGCTATCGTTTGAGCACTCCAGCATTTAAATGTGAATAAATCTTTTGTGTCTCGTACCATCGTTCGTTACCGTGATAACCCAACGTCAAGAAAGTGGACGGAAGAAAACAGCAACATCAGTAGAAATGCTTTGAAAAGTAAAGAAGCGACTTGATCGAAACCCGTGTCGCAGTAGCGGAAAAATAAACGGAAAAATGAGCTCGCGGTAAAACCATTCAAATTCCAAAAAGTGCAGGAACTTACACCGTAAGGGGGAGAAAATAGCCTCAAACGAGCTAAAGAGTTGCTTCGCTTGGCCGAAAGTGGTGAACTGCTGAATTTGGTTTTTTCCGATGAGAAAAATTTCTTTCCCAGCAGTTTGTAAACAACTAAAATGATCGTGTTTTCTTGCCAAAGTGGTCTGCTGAAAATGTGCACCTTCAGTTGGCCACCAAAACTCAAGCGTGATGGTGTGGGCCGCCATAACAGCTGATGGCCGCTCTCCGCTCGTATTAATCGACCGTGGCATCAGAATAAATGCCGAATATTGTCGGGAAAATATTCTGGAGGGTGCATTAAAGCCTTGAGCACGCAAACATTTTAGCCGCAGATCTTGGATATTCCAACAGGACTCAGCACCATCGCACTCAGCGTGCGCCACCCATTGGTTACAAAATGAGGTTCCTCGCTTCATTTCCAGCGCACAATGGCCACCAAGATCTCCAATCCATTGGAATATTGTGTCTGGAGTATTTTGGAATGCACTTTGGTTGGCACTAAAAAATATCAAAGTGCCGATCACCTCAAGCAAGCGCTTTGCCGGGAATGCCAAAGTACAGCAGACCAACATTCGGGCAGCGTGTAACGGTTTCATTGGCCATTAAAAGTCATAATTCGTGCCAAAGATGACACATTCGAACCAATCTAAACTTTTTCTCAAATTTGACATTTTTTGCTTTCATTCAATAAAATTAAAAAAAAAAAATAAAATAAAAATTATGGTGTTTGACTTTGTTGTAGTTTTTTATTTCACCCTTTAGAAGGTACGAGGTTAGCTGAATTGGAGCAGTACACGAATGAACAACGCATTCTTATTTGGAAAGCGTTTTACCAAATTTGTGAAAATTGTGCGGGTACAGTTGGCAAATTGCGACCAATTTGGGGCCGCAGTAATGCTCTAAAACGGTCAACTGGATAAATTTGACGAATCTGGATCTGTTAGTGATAAAAATCATCTTCAGGTACAAGACCCATTTCCATGTTGAGGGCTTTGTCAATAGGCGGAATTGTGACACTTGGGGTGAGAAAAATCCTCAAAAGACTTACGAGAAGCAAATACATCCTCAACTTGACTCAATGTGGTGAGGTTTTTGGGCTGGATTTATACCTTTTTATGAAAATGAGGCAGGTCAAGTGCAAAGAGGCAAAAATGTTTGGTATCTTGCCGAGAATTGTTGAAATGAGTATGGAAGGCATGTGGTTTCAACAAGACGACGCCATATGTCATACAGTCAGAAAAAACAATTGAATTGCTGTATTTGTCCTTTACCGGTAATGTTAATTTTCGTTTTGGAGACCAGACATTGCTGCTTAGATCGTGCGATTTAACACCTTCAGATTTATTTATTGGGGTTTTTTTTGAAGTCGAATAAACCTACGACTCAACTCTTAAAAGAGAAAAAGAGATTCCATTAATAGAATACCACGGTCATTGAAATTTCTTTGAAAGATTCATTCTCTCAACTTTACGTTATATAATAACGTTTCGCGACTTTTTTTAAATATCTCTATTTTATATAAAATTGAGTTCAAATTGGGACTCCTTAATAATTCTCTTTTTTTTGAATAAAATATTCTGTCCACCAAGATTTTAAAACGTACCAGATTTCTCTATTTTTTATTTTTAAGTCTTCTTTAAATCGCTTTATTTTATATGATAATAGATATATGATATTTGTGTTCCGTCCCCCTGCAAATAAAACAAAAAATCAACTTTCAAAATGTATACGCATTTCACTTAAATGACATAAACGAAGGGGACACACTGTTACTAAAACAGAAACAATTTGATATTTATGGTCAATAAAAAAAGATGAAAAGCAAAACAAAAAAAAAAAAAAAAGAAAACTCAGCAAGCCAGTCAGCCATACAGTTGGACAGATAAATTGCTAATATAATTGAATTATGGTCAACAATTCCGCAAAAAAAAAAGAAATTGAATAAAAACGGACTTAGCAAACTGAAAGTAAATTCGAATGAGAGATATAAACTGGTTTTTGCCTCTGTGTGTGTGTGTGGTCATAAGTTATTGGCTTGATTTAATATATATGTTGTGAATAACAGAAAAAAATTGTACATTCTCGTATCTGTGGGATATAAGTTTTATTTTGTCAATAATCGGTTTGTGTGTGTAAATAGAGATAATATAGACATAAATAACGGTTGGATGGGAGATTATGCCATAAAGAGAATCATTTTTTTGCAACAAATATGTTGTGTGATTCACTTTGGTTGACTTATGTGGTTTTATGAAGTGTTATGTGGATTAGTGAGTTTCAGATACTAATTAAAAGAACCATTCATTTGTATATTATATTAATATTGAAGAAAGAGTTCGGGGTAAAGCCATTGGAATTCCAAAAAGCGCAAGAACTTACACCGCAACAGAAAGAAAATAGACTCAAAAGAACTAAAGAGTTGCTTCGCTTGGCCGAAAGTGGTGAACTGCCGAATTTGGACATTCCAACAGGACTCAGTACCATCGCACTCAGCACGCGCCACTCAAGAATTGTTACAAAATGAGGTTCCTCGCTTCATTTCCAGCACATAATGGCCAACAATATCTCCGGATACCAATCCGTAGGACTATTGTGTCTGGAGTATATTGGAAAGCAAGGTTGGCACTAAAAAATACCATAGAAAGCGCGTCGCCGAGAATGGCCCAGAATACTTTAGAGTAACATTCAGGCAGCGTGTGGCGGTTTAATTGACCGTCGAATTGGTCACCTTTGGCCATAATTCTTGCCAAAGGTGACCAATTTGAACAAATCTAAACTTATTCTAAAATTTGATGCTATTTGCGGCATTTTTTGCTTTCATTCTATAAAATTTAAAAAAATGTAAAAATTATTGCGTCTGACTTTGTTGCAGTTTTTTTATCTCACCCTATATATACTTTGGTCTAGAATTATTATTATTTCGATCTCAAGCACATTTTAACATTTTCCAAAAATTAGCACATATCTCATATACAGGGAAGGAAGTAGTCTATGTAGTAGAAACTTAGCACGTCGCAATATTTATATTATATTTACTTAGGCCCGAAATAAAAGGGGTATAATGCCTCATTCCTTCAAACCTACTCCATAGAGGGTCAACAATTTGAATAATCATAACAGAAGTCAAAATTTATTTAAATAATCGAACATTGGGTGAGGGTATACAGTTATCGTCAAAACCGACTGATACTTTATA